TATATATAAATACATAAAACATCAATTTAAAAACATTACTAAAAAGGAATTTTTATTTATTTATTTATTAAATTTCTCCCCCGCCCATCTTTTGAAAGAAACAAGATGAGTTCTAAGCTAGCAGAGGTTTTTTTTTTTTTTAAATGTTCTGATTGAAGCAAAACCTCCTTTCTTTAGTTTGTATGTAGTTTTGCATGAACGATAAAGATACCTGGGGCTTCTTAAGCTGGTAGAAAGAGAAAATCAATCATTTTAAAAAAGAAGACAGAAACCCTTAAGTCAAGCTCAGCTCTGGGTATATGGAGACAGCCATGCTATTTTCTCTGCAACACCTGAGGTAGTTTCCAACTGTTGTCTTTTAGAATATTTTCCAATTTCTTCGAGTAGTATAAAACCCTGGAATGTCCTGATTTTCTCCCATCCAAGTACAAACCAGGCCCAATCCTGATTAGCTTCTAAGCCAAAGGTCAGCTAAGTATTGCCACCTGCTAAACTACCCCCCAAGCCCTTATAAAAGCTGGAAGCCATGCTTTCCCCTGTGGCCAGATAGGGAGGAAGACGCAAAGGTGAGGATCCCCAGTGATATGAGAGGCTCCTCATATCATTCTAAGAGCCCAGGAGTGGCAACCAGACACAACAGAGTGGCAACAATCCTCAGCCCACAGCTCCTATCCTGTATACTGTGTGGCATAAAGCTAGAGTCTGACTTGCTATGGGGAAGAAAGAAATGTAAGAGAAATTATTGACATGGGAGCTGGAAAATAGGGTTACTTTTGCACTTTCAGCCTCCTGACTACCAAGAAGACTGACAGTTTGGTCACTGGGAATCTGCTGCAACCCAATGGATGGTACTGACAGATGGCCTGATGTGCAGAAGTATTATATTAGTCCTGACCAAAAACAGCCAGTTGGGTGCAGTGATTAAGGCATCAGGCTAGAAACCGGGGGGCCATGAGTTCTAGTCCCACCTTAGGCACCAAACCAGTTGGGTGACTTTGGTCCAGTCACTCTCTCTCAGCCCTAGGAAGCAGGCGGTGGCAAACCACTTCTGAAATCTTGTCAAGAAAACTGCAGGGACTTGTCCGGGCAGTTGCTGGGAGTCAACACTGGTGCAGAGACAAGAAAGAAAGAAAGAAAGAAAGAAAGAAAGAAAGAAAGAAAGAAAGAAAGAAAG